CTAGTTCAAATACTAACCAAAATTATTGTTCAAACTATGTTAACCCGATCTTGATCGTTTATTTTCTCATCAAATGGTTCTTATTAAATGAGACTATAAAAATAATCATTTAATTAATATATTAATTGAGATGCCTATGAACAACGGTTCAAAGGGTACTTTTGTAAAAACATCGCATGAACACGGTAACATTTATATGAACACGGTGAATGTTCATGGACATTACATGGATATGAACACCGTGAACATCGGAATTACCTCATGATCAATTAAAGATATCTTAAAAGATTTGTAACTCCCAAATAATTATTAAGGAGTTACATAAAGAACAAATTACAAAATGACTCTTGTATTCAATTTATAAGTTACATTTGAACATAAAGTAAAGAAAAAATGTGATTGGTTGATGTTGGTTAGTAGAGTTAACACAAAAAAATGAGTTAGTATTTGAACCACCATCTCTCTCCTCTCTCTCTCTCTCTCTCTCTCTCTCTCTCTCTCTATATATATATATATAGGGGAGCGATCAAATGAAAACCACCCTCATTTGTAAAAACTGTACAAACCACCCTCATACGTCGATTTCATTGTTTAATCTTATGAAATTTTTTCATGAAATTGTTTAATCTTGTGAAATTGTTTCATATAATACTTTTTTTGATGAATTTGTTTCATATATGGTTATGAAATTGTTTCATATAATATTTAATGAAATTGTTTCATATAATATTTAATGAAATTTTAATGAAACTGTTTCATGTATTTCTGTAAAATTAAAATAATGAAGATGATAATATCCATGATTAACACCCTCCACAATAAAAATGGTTAATCAACATCTCATAATTACAAAAAATTGAACAAAATGAAAAATTATGATTGGTTGAATGAGGTTTTCATGGTTTTTACAAATTGAGTGATTTTTATTTGAGCATTCCCCTATATATATATACACACACACACCGGTAACTTCAAACAGCAACACTAACTATTTAAGAAAACAAAAAACAGATTGTGAATGTATAAAATCATATATGATTCACGTACAAAATCATACATGATTTGGCGTGACTTTGCTCGCTACTTAAGTTGCGGCCAAAGTCGCCCGCTTCCATCTTTTTGACGTAAATGTAAAATCATATGTGATTTTGTTTGTTAATGTCATTTTTCTTGTTTTCTTAAATAGTTAGCGTTCTCGTTTGAACCTTCCCCTCTCTCTCTATCTATATCTATCTATCTATATATGAGTCGGGTTACAGTGAGAATGATAGGTATGTTGAGAAACATTCATCCTAGGATCAATCCTAATTAAATGTCAACAGTAATGAGGTGCACCAGATCAATTCTCTTCTAAAATACAATTCATTGATGGGCATGAGATTAAAAATGATCAATGGTTCAGATCTTTTCTTACGCTTCTCACTTGTCCATAACCTCCCTTATCACACGATCCTTCGCTTATATATATATATATATATATATATATATATATATACTTGGGATCATGTGAGACTAAAGGTTTTTCGTGAGACCCGTAAGACCAATTCTCAATCCTTGGGTTAAATCTACAATCTGAACATTCATAATCACAAAATTGCCACGAGACTTCTCAATAATCACAAAATTGTCATCGTGCAACTTTAGACCATTAGATTATTAACTTATAAAGTTGATCAATGAACATAAATTGGTCTTATGGGTCTTACGAAAAACCCTAGGTCTCATGTGAACCCAACCCTATATATATATAGGGGTTGGTTCAAATATTAACCATGTTTATTGTGTTAAATTTGTTAACCAATCTTGGTCATTGATTCTTACAATAAACGGTTATGATTAATCATATTAAAATTTTAATTTATTAAATTTACAATTTCACAAACATATGTTAACTAAGTGGAAAACGGTATTTAAATATCATGTGCTTTTGATACCATCAGTTACCAAAACAGTAAATATCGTTACCAAAGTGTCTTGAAGCATCTCGGAACAGGTATGAACACAACATGAATAATTATGAAGACAATAAGAATAGTTGTTACACGAAAGATAAGAAATAAAAAAACAGTTATGAACACAATATGAACAGCTCGTGAACAATAGTTTCTTTATTATGAACACATTCAAGAGTCAGCCATTGTTGAGAAATGCAGCTAGTCTACATATGAACACAATATGAACAGCTTGTGAACAATAGTTCTTTCATTATGAACACAAATCGACATATACGAAATCTTTCAATCAGTTATGAGCACATGTGAAACCTGTGTCAATTATATAACCATATGCAAGATGATAAACGACCCATTTGAACAGGTACGAGCACATATGGTCTTATCGAGAGAGGTCTGGAACATATATGATCACAACATATACATTTATACACATTTTGATGTTCACATAATTGGATATTCAATAATAAGTTAACAAAAATCATGGGATTTTATGATTTTGTAACTCCCAATTAATGATATGGGAGTTATATAAAAAATTACATATTTACCCTTGTCATTAAATTCTAAGATGGATAGAAACCTATATATAAGATGGATTGTCATTGGTTGAAAATGGTTAACAAAGTTAACACAATAAACTTGGTTAACATTTGAACTAGACGCTCTCTCTTTCTCTCTTTATATATATATATATATATATATATATATATATAGGGGCTTATTCAAGGGAGAACTGAGTTGTTTGTGGTAACTGTGAGAACCAATATTAACCACAAAT